ATCTATAAATAATTGAGAATAAGAAATTTGAAAAGGTTTGGATGAAAAATTTAGATGAAAACTTGTGTCAAATATATAACATATTTATTTTTTCATTGCAGGTACTTTAGATGATAAGGAGCAGTCATTTTCAAATAAATCTGCTTTAGAAAAGAGAAATATCTATAAAAATGAGACCCAGCCTCCAGATACTTTTAAATATACTGTGAGTTAGTTAGCATCATTTTGACACTTCTTTAGAACTGTAGGCTTTACTTGAGTAAAGATAATTTGACTTATGGTTGAACAGTTTGTGAGTACTTTCCTGATTGTAAATATGAATCCTAATAAATTATATGTATAAAATTATGATTCTTCAAGTATGAAGTTTATTATATGTTTGTTTGAGAGCAAAGCCACAGTGGACTGTCTGCTGTGCTCACTGTAGGGAATCAAACCCCAGATATTAGCATTGTAAATCCATAACTTTGTTGCTGTCCCACAAGGGGACATCAAGTTTATTAATGGTTATTTATGAAAATGGATTTACTGACTGAACTGCTTTGTTGTGTGTGACCTCTGTTATATGCAATTGTGGTATTCCCTAGTATATAGATTTCCCACAGCATAGTCTGCTAACTGGAGGTTTGAAGTATATCAAGTTACAGTGTGTGTGTGTGTGTCTGATTATCTCTTTATATTCTGATTGCATTTGTTGTGAGGAAAGAGTCAAAACACAGAAGATGCACAACAGTCTCTATCTACACACAACTATATCACAAATATAGTCACAAACACAAGATACTAGATCAAAATAGTGGCAAGTGGGGTAGTGGTGAGTGTTGGGCTGGTGGGAGAGAGAGAGAGAGAAGAAAAGTTAAAACCTTTTTTTGAGTCTTTCTCTCACCAATCAAGTGTGTGCTCCCCTGTAAATTAAACTAAAACATTAAGTTACGAAATAAAAATAAACCTAAAGATAAAATAAAGAAAAACAATCAAACAAAGATAAAAAAAAATAATTGTTAAACTAAAGCTCAACAAAAGTCTTAGCAAACAACTATGAAAGAAGAGAAATCTTACTTTTAGAAAAAACTCTTAATTCTTCTAAAAGTTAAGTTACAGCCAAATCTGCCAAACGAAGAACTTTTAATACAGAATAACATCACACAAAGCCAGAAAGAACACATAACCCCTCAACCATGTGTCCTTTGTCTACTACCACTTAAGTGCAAAGGTCCCTGAACCCTGGGCAGATCTAGAATCAGGAAAAATTAGATGTGTTTGCTTGCTTGGGCAATTTTGTGTCCAAACTGAGCTGAAAGAAAAACAGAAATTTTTAAACAATTCTCATATTAGCTAAGGGAATTGAAAACAAATGATATCAACCTGTATTTTTGTTTGAACGTAAAATCTAATCATACTTATCCTCACTGCCAAATTAATTAATTGACAGGATTTGTTACAAAACTAGTATTTGATATGTTGAAAAAGTAATTTCACTATGTCACTTATGTGATAAAAAAACTTTTTTTTTATCTATATGGGAAAAATTATTAATTAAATATATTATAATCAATGAGTTTTTATCATGAACTGGTACCAGATTGGCCAGTTATGTAAGCAAAAGTATTGTTGCAAGGACTCCTTTTTTGGTGAACAAAATTGAATTTTTTTTTGGTAAAGAACAGCAATATCATTTAGAAACATAACTTGTTTCTTGTTTGATTCAGGAAAATATGTCTCAAAGTAAGCAGCAGTAAAACTATCAAGGTACTGTCTAATATATATGTAAAAACAAACACACTGATCAGAGTGAGGCTTTGAACAATATTAGTTACCAGATTGCTACAAATTGAGCTGAATATTCTCCACTGATGCAATAATCAGTCTGTTGTGATTAGATGTTGCATGAATGAAAAAGGGAAATAAAACTGACTACTTTAGCATGATTGAGAGTCTAACCAGTATGTGTCTTTCATGTGTGGATACTTTCTTTTGTTCATCCTATTTTCAACTTCCAAATAATTACCACAAAAAGCGATCCTGCTTGGTGAATTATAGAGGTAGTAGCATATCTCAGTCTACGATTTAGTGACCTTGTTTTACACATGCTGTCCTTACCAATATGAAAAGTTTGAAAAATTCGTTTGGCAGAAGACAAATAGTTTACAAAATATTTCTATATTTTGTTGGATCAGAATTACATTGCATATCGTGAGAATCTCTTATAAGCTACACATAGTTAGTTCAAATTTTATTTGATAAAAGATTGATTAACGAGAAATTGAGTACAGTAAACTACTGCGTAATGATAATGAAATTTTTTGGTTTATAATTTCTTTTTGTTATTACTTCAAAGGTAATAATATAAACCTTATTTAAACAAAAAATTTCATTATTGTGAATTGAGTAAATAGTTAATTTGAGTAAATTGAGTTAATTATATTTTTACAAATTTAATCTGTATTTTCACAACAAATGGATTATAACATTTTGTTTTACTTTTTTCAAGGTTGGTGGTCAAGATACATTAACAAGTATAGCAGCACGTTTTGATACTACACCTTCTGAGCTGACGAAAATAAACCGGCTAACAAGTCGACTTATTTTCTCTGGGCAAGTAAGTGTAGTTGTGTAAATAAACACTTTTGTATTGGCAGTTTTATACCTTTCACTAGTAGTTTGTTATCTATAATGACATATTGTATTTCTAGGTTTTTTGTGATTTGGTATTCTTGCACATTCACTGTGAAATATCTAAATTCCCATATTTTAGAGTTGTTTGATTCTTTTTGTTAAACTCTATAATGCAAGTATACAATATATTGGTTGTTATCCCTATCGTTACGGGTAGCTAGTGGTCAGAGGGCATGCCATCACGTTTCTAGACTTACTTTCAGAATTTTATTAAACCACTATTTTATGAATTTAGTCAATAAACTTGGCATCAAATTGTAGATTTTAATTCAAATTTTAGTATTATACATTATTTAATATTTAAGTAAATATAAAAAAAAAGAAGCTAAATATCTATTTTTGTGTGTCACACTGGTACGTCATCTTCTAGGTTTGGTCAGATTACATTTTATGACTCCCACAATACAATGTCAGTAGTTTCATATGAATTATAAACTCAAATTTCTGATATTGACAAGCTCCTACCTTTTCTGTTTGCTGAGATATCATAATATTTATCGAGTCTACCATATTGGCTCTGCCCACCACTTTGTCATTTGAGAAGACTTGTTTATCTACACTTGTTTTTTTATACCTATAACTTTATAACCAATCAAAAGCTATAGATTTCTTCTACATATTTCTGTCACTTTTCCTAAGTTATTTATGAGAGAAAAGCTCTTATATCATTGGAAAGTTTGAAGTATTACGATGAAGGCTATTCTTTGAAAAAAATTATAATTTTTTGGGGGCCCAAATGCAATTTAGTTAGGAATCCTGATAAATTACATTGGATTTTTTGGGGAATTGGTATAGTAATTTATAATTTTTTTATATTTCAAAATGCTTGTATAAAGTCTGCAAAAATTGTTATTTTTCCATCTCCGCATGTAAATTTTGACAAGGCTTAACAAGTATGGTTTACGAGTGCAAACAAGGACTGTGCAGCATATAAGTAATAGAGATCATTGTTTTTCGAATATTTTTTATTTACTGTTCTATGTTTGAAGAAAGTAATAGACATTTAAGTATTCATTTGAAAATAATATATATATATATATATATATATACACACACACACATAACTAATGTATGGTAGCCAAGTTTGCTTGCTTGCAGGTAATACTTCGTAAATGCCTGGTTGAACTTGCAGTTTGCTGGAGAATAATTTGTTTCTAAAGTTACAGTCAAGAAGGCTAAACCAAGAATATTAGCCCAATCAAAACAAGCCATATCTATATTACTGGAAACTACACATTTATTGGTTACTGTGTAAGCATGGTAATATAGGAAACAGGATGTCCGTTAGCATTTACACTTATACCAACACCAAATCCTGACCACTCTGGAAAATAACTGGCATCCAAATACTTGACAAGTTTATTAGATCTGAAACAACTTTGTACAGAGCCATATCATAAATATTTTCTCTCACTTTTATAAATTACTTTATACAATTCTTGTTGTAATCACTGTACTGTAAAAAAAAAACGTCAAATTGTACCCCACTGTGTTCTCGTAGCTAGGATTTGAATAGATTCAACAGGATACATCAATTTTTTGACTTATTGGATCAGACTGTGGACTTTCTACAATGTCATAACATAAACATTTTACACTTTAGACAATTGTCGTTGAAACCATTATACTCTCAACATGTTGTTAAATCTTATCTGACTGTGTTTTCAAAGCAGGGAAATTCTGAGAATTGTGCAGCATGAGCTTATTTGATTTTAACGGTGTCAAACTAAGTAAGGAGCAGCGATTCATTGCTTTATATTTTACAGGTTTCTATTTCAGCTGTTAACAGTAGATAAACATAGGAAATAGGTGTGAAAAGGTTAGAAGAAACTCTCCCGAAATTTACTTTGGAAATTAGTTATACATACTGTTTCTTCTAGTTTCTAAGTCAACTTCTAACAGTAAAATTACTACCAAAAATAAGTGTGAAAAGGTGAGAATTATAAACTCTTTGAAACTTTGCGATCAATACTAACAATATTATACATTTTATTTTGCTCATTGCAGCCTTTATTTTCATTATATAACCTGGAGAATCAAGTGTAATGTTAGAGGAAATAACAGATAAAATATAAAGTTTTAATGAAAAGAATGTTGATATTTAATTTTGAGGTTGTTTTTCATTTATATTCTTTATTATTATTATTATAAAAGTAACTAAAATAATAAAAATAAAAA